GAATACCCCTTCCCAGCTCAAGGAAAGGATAAGGAACAGGAGAAATTTAGACAGAGTCGAGAGGTATTGAAGACATTCAAGGCGAAGACTCTAAACAGAAAGAAGAATCAGGGGATGAAGAAGAGGACAAAGAACCTCCTGGACGGAAGTTAAACACAGAAAGAAGGTTAGAGGTTGAGCAGGAATCACCTCAGAAGATGAGATCAGGGAGGGAGAAGAACCCCAAATCTCAGTAGAACAAGGGGGCTGTGCAGAATAGAAGCATTTAGTGTCGACAGATAGCGACACTGGCTCATCCAAAAACCTACTGGCTGACTATGGTAGATGTGAGTGGAGGGGATGGAGTCGCGGGCTGCACCTCACAAGGGACGGAAGAAGATTATTGGCATTGTTGTTTGACCATCAGTGATGTCATGAAGTACGACCTTTAGAGTGAGCGCCACGCACACCTGACCGGACCATTCTGTCTGCTAGAGGTTAGCTAGAGGAGGGAAGAGATGAACTTAGTAAGAAGTTATGAAATAATTGAGTAAAGAATTGTGGAAGAACTATAATGCACTAGGGTGTGTGACCTTGTTAGAAAATAGGCGATTATTGGTTGTGATATCTGTTCCGTTGTTAGATAGCGAGAGTGTATTCGAGATATACCAGAAAGAAGAAAGATATGAAGAAAAAGATTCACTCATAGAGATGATTGGTAGAGGCTTAGTCAATTGTACAGAATTATGGGAGCCGATAGTGAAGAGATTCTCTAATGTTACCTTAAATAAGATGCCAGTATTAATGAAGCCAATAGAAAAGATCGATATGGATCAATTAAGAGATAAGTTAAGTGCATTGGGAAACGAAGGTGTGGCTTAGGAAGACAGTGAGCAGATCGCGATAAGTTGGTCAATAGTAATGGGTACATTCCTAGTTATAACCATCGGGGGTGTATTAGAATGGAAGGTTAGGAGTAAGAGAAGATTAGCGAACGACAATCTAGTGAGCATGCAGCAACTCGAGAGGGAGATGCCGAGCAGTGTTCCTTACTCAGACAGGACTGGCAAAGAAATTGCTGAAAGACCAACGGAGGAGGCTGGCGTGAGACCACCACGTGCGGCGGAAAAACCTCCCACAGCGGAGAGGAAAACATTGACCAAGAAGAACAAACCATAGTAAAGACATCTGCGCCCACAGGCACACGCACATATTACTTTTGCATGTAAAAAAAAAAAAAAAAAAATGAAGAAGAACATTACCCTTGCATGTAGAACAAAAGAAAATGAAAAGAACATTACATTGCATGTAGAACAAAAAGAAAATAAAAGAACATTAATTGCATGTAGAACAAAAAAGAAAATGAAAAGAACATTACACCTTGCATGTAGAACAAAAGAAAATGAAAAGAACATTACCTTGCATGTAGAACAAAAGAAAATGAAAAGAACATTACATTGCATGTAGAACAAAAGAAGATGAAAAGAACATTACATTGCATGTAGAACAAAAGAAAATGAAAAGAACATTACCCTTGCATGTAGAACAAAAGAAAATGAAAAGAACATTACCTTGCATGTAGAACAAAAGAAGATGAAAAGAACATTACATTACATGTAGAATAAAAGAAGATGAAAAGAACATTACATTGCATGTAGAACAAAAGAAGATGAAAGGAACATTACGAAGATGAAAGTAGAATAGAATTGCATGAGACAAATGCATGGTGCATGTTAAATGATGTAATTGGGTTTAGGTGTCATTTACGGGTAAATGACAAATCGGTTAGGGGAGGATTGTGGCACCCTGCATTATTAGAAAAACTAAAAAGAAATATTCATAGAAATATGATTTTATTTTATTCGGTTTATTAACCAGTTGTTAGTTATTTAGACGAAGAATCATTAAGTTTGAGAATAATTCTCTAATTGTATTTAGGCGACCCTAAGGGAAGAAGAAGGGAAAAAAAAAAAAAAAAAGAAAAGAAAAGGAGAGGGAGAGATGGGTAATGCAAAAAAGCCGGTCATTAGCGAAAACAGGTGTCAAGAGATATCTAGGCCAACGCGCCTGACCGAATTTCAAAAACAATGGAAATTGTTATTTGGAAGAATAGAATTAAAAGGTAATTAAAAGAAAGAAAGAAAACAGACTTGGTAAAAGTGTATGAACATACGTACGATTGATAAAAATATCGGTCAAAATATCTGGCCTACTTTTGTGCAGAAGCTCATTATCAATTTGGAGAAATGGGATTTTAGAACAATGGAAAACGAAATATTAATCGGAGAAGGGTGTCTTTTGGGATGAGAAGGTGACCGCTGGAATTGTATACAGATCTTGACCTGTTGAAGATTAGAACCCCACGATGAGGAAGTGAAGATATTTCAATTCAGATAATTAAGATTTTGATTATCAGGTCTGAGCAAAAAACAGAGAGGCGAAAACAATTGTTTTAGCTCACAGAAAGCGCCAGCGAGACGAGAAAAATTCTTCCTGAAGTCATATCTAATTAGCGGCGGGCTGTTTTGACAAAAGCCAAAAAAAAAGAAAGGCCGAGATTGTCATTTTTGTGCGTGCGAAAAAGGCCAAATTGGATTTTGTTTTTTTAGCAAGGTGTCCCTTTCCCAGAACAAAGCCCGGATGGGCCACGCCCGATTGGAGACGTCACGAAGGACGGGAGACGCCCAACCAGAATCTCATTAGCCGAAAGCGGTCACGTGATATGCGAGAAAGAGGAGAAAGGACGCTCGACCAAGACCCATTGGTCGAAAACGGTCACCTGACATACGAGAGACCGAGAGAGATGGGTATGCGCCTCCCACCCAGAGGCGCAGTGAGGAAGTAGTGGTGAAAATAAGAGCGATAATGGGAAATCAGAACTAATGCGACTTTTGGAATTATCAAGAAAACCCTAACGCCGACAGAACCACCCCAGTTTGTTGCGGCGTCAATAAAAGCAGGACCCCAATCGACAGAAATCAGAGAGTTGCGGGGTAGACGGCCAGAGCAGTTGGAACGCGGGCGGCAGGCCTGGTTCACTCGCCCCCCAGCGGGCAAGAGAATCCGGAATGAAGAAATTCGTCCAGCCAACTCTGAGAGAAGAAGATTGATCGAAAGCCGCAGAGAAGTTGCAGCCAAGTCGAAGAAAGGAAGATTGCTCGAAAGCCGCAGAGAAGTTGCAGCCAAGTCGAAGAGAAGAAATGGGCTCGTAAAGCTGCAGGCCGGACAGGCCGAAGAATTGCAGGCCAGACAGGAAGAAGTGCTGCAGGCCAGACAAGCAGAAGAATTGCAGGCCAGACAGGCAGAAGAGCTGCAGGCCAGACAAGCAGAAGAGTTCAGCCCCGGAAGGCAGAGAGAAGAGATCACCTCAGACGGCAGAGAGAAGAGTTCGGACCTTGGCGAGAAGAGTTGCAGGACGGAAGAAGAAGTTACTTGCAGTTGCGTCTAGAAGAAGTTGAAACCAGGCCAAGCCTGAGGGTGGGAATTCGTCCAACCCAAATCGAAGTGAACTTCGTCCAACTCAATCCGAAGAAGAATAAGCACGTCCAACTCAAGCCACAGAGAAGAATCAGCCGTGAACGACTGGTAGAGATTAGCGCCCAGTGTCGAAACTAAACCACACTCCGACATACAAAATTCTAGAGAGTAGGCAACTCGAAGTCTTTAAGTTGTATGATAGAAGCTTGGTGCCACAGTCCACAAAGTGGGTCGGGAAGTAAGAATAATTTTTATGTAACGAACATTAGATATAAAAGGTTGTTACCCTTTTTTATCAGTAATTTTTGGCCTCGTGAGTTTTCTTTTACTTGTGTGTTGCCACCCCCGTCGAACTCAACTTGCATACGGCCCCAATCCCTGTTTGATCCCGTCTGTCTAAGATCTAATCACAACGTGGGTAGGCAGACCGGAGATCAGTACAGTTACCCTAGTAACCAGGTGTTGGAAGCGAGTTGGGAACGGCGAGGCTGGTAATCATCTAACCAAAGGGTTGGAACGTCACACTTGGAGCAGCGAGGAGCGAACAGCTGACGCCGCGGCAAAAACGTCACGTCACAATTGGAGCTGCGAACGAGATAGAACGACAGAGTCGACGCTGCGACCAGGAGGAGCGACGTCACAGTTGGCGCCGTGACCAAAGGATTCGACCCTGGACCAAGTGACGTCACAATATTGAGCATCATCCCTTGCCCTTTACTGATAAGTTTATCGCGTGCGACACCAGTCTACGTAATCTTCGACCAGTCGTCCCAACCAACATGCGGCGACAAATATTCGACCACTTCCATTCGTTATCCCACCCTGGTCGTAAAGCTACACTTAGCTTAATTGCAGACCGTTTCGTCTGGCCTAAGATGCGTAAATACATTACTCGTTATACTCAATCTTGTGTTGTTTGTCAACAAAACAAGATCCAGAGACACACTAAGTCACCAGTTGGTCGTTTTGCTACCCCTGATGGTCGTTTCCGACATCTACATGCGGACCTAGTGGGTCCCTTATCGGAAGTTCGGGATTATAGATAGATTTACGAGATGGCCGGTTGCCGTCCCACTCAACAGCACTACCGCTGAATCCGTGGCTCGCGCCATATTTCAACACTGGATTTCTATTTACGGATGCCCCTCGATCATTACCACTGATCGAGGACCGCAGTTCCAATCTCAGTTATTCACTGAATTTACTAATCTACTTGGAGCTCGCCATATATCAACAACTGCTTACCACCCATGTTCCAATGGCCTAGTTGAGCGTTTCCACCGCCAACTTAAGGCTGCTTTGACCAGCATAGGCACTACTAATCAATCTTCTTGGATAGACAACTTACCTTTTGTCTTACTTTCACTTCGCACACAAGTAAGATCTGAAATGCTCGCCTGCTGATCTAGTTTTCGGACAACAATTGGTACTACCAGGTCAATATTTTTCCGTAACATCTACACAGGAACCTTCGTCCAGTTTTATCACCTATTTTCGGAAGAAAATGTCTTCCCTTGCTTTTAAAAAAACCCGTTACACTTCAGGTGACGTTTATGTACCTCCTTCCTTACTGGAATGCGAGTACGTTTTTTGTACGACAGGATTCTGTTAGAAAGCCACTGACACCACATTATGCTGGTCCATTTCGTGTCCTTGCCCGGACCGATAAATATTATAGTTTACAGACTAACCACGGCCGATCGACTTTCTCTATCGATCGCTTAAAACCTGCATGTATTGAACGCGATAGATCAACCAATCAACCTACGAGCCCTTCGCTAGACAGCCCTCAGCTTTCGTCACCAGCACCTACTAGGACTGCTAGCGGACGTACCGTCCACTGGCCTAAGAAGTTCAGAACTTTCATTACATATTGAAAACTCTTTCTTCCCTGACTTTTCAATCTTGGCGGGGTATTGTGGGATCACTTACATGTGCCACGCCTCCATTTCCTTCAATATCATTGGTTCGTAAATATATGACAATTTTGCCATCGCAGGTAATTTGAAATTTTCTCTAAAATCATGGATTGGTCCATTTCCTGAACAATCGTGTATCTTAGTATCTTTTCTATATTTTTAGCGCCAAGTTCTCCGGAGCCTATCCATCGTTATATAGACTCTCGCTGTTTGCTAACAGCAGTAGCAGTTCAATTCTTGGAAAATAAGGCACGGCGCTATATTGACATTTTAATTCTTAATTATCACTCAATCGAGTAATCATACTAATTCCTACTGGTATCACTCATGAACATTACATTTTTCTACACTGATAAAACACTGTGGAACTATTCTTTATTTAGCTAAGACTTCAATTGAACTTTGTAGTTAAATTACATTCAATATTGTACTCAACATTTATTAGCTAAACTTACCCTTTTTATTACGGAAGAAGGGAAGCAACTTTCTTTATACTATTGTTGATATTTGTATATCATTGTTAATACAATATTTTATTAATGTTCACTGAGCTTGATTATTTTTCTCTCGTGTTTGTTGTGCATTATTCATGTGGGGTGTTGTTTTACAAGAACACAGCCTTCCTTCTTTATTATATTCACGGTGACCCTAGCCAACAATACTTACAGCACCACTACAGATAGATAGATCTGAACAGACTGAGATAGATAGATAGATAGATAGATAGATAGATAGATAGATAATTACGAAAAGCGCATTTGATATAAAAAAACTAACGATGTACTCGATTTATTTCATAATGTTCATTAAAAAGTTAAACAAAACTAAAATAATAGCACATAGATAATTATGGTCGGCGTATTTTAATGGTTAGCAAGATTGTCTTGCTAGATCTGTTAGACTGAAAAGAAAGTTCGAGACTCACTAGGTGCCCCATACTTTCGGCCTTATGCCACATCTAAGCTACACTTGGAAATAACAATAGATCATTATGGTGATGGTTTCCTTTACATCTCGTATTGTAAGCATTCTTAATTATGTGACGTCGTCCCCCCTGGTCGCAGCGTCGACTCTGTCGTTCGATCTCGTTCGCGGCGCCAACTGTGACGTGACGTGGTCCAGGGTTCTGATCCTATGGTCACGACACCAGTTGTGACGTCTTTGCCACACCTCTTCACCTTTTCCCATACGCCCTGGCTCTCCTTGTCCAGCTCTATTGCTGCCGACAGTCTCAGCGGTCCCTCTTTTAGCACGTCGTGACGAACACGCTCGTCACTTAGCACCTCTACATACAGGTCCGCTAGTTGGGCCTGCATAACCGCATTGTCTCTGACCACTTCCGGGAAGGCCAATGATGACAGCTTCCTGCTCGGGCCCCCCAATTCTTCCGGGGTTTCGTCCCGCAGCTGTGTCAGTTTTAGGAGGGCCCCTCATGGCCTCTATAGTCGTGCCCTCGTCGGCGAATTCCTTGGTAATAGTCCCTTTAACCTTTCCCAAGATAAGTGGGGTTGACTCTCCAAGAGCTCCTTCACGAATTCAGATGCTTTCCCCTTTGTGGCATTGTATGCCAAATACAGGGTTTCGTGGTCTGAAAGTTCGTAAATAACTCGGCTCTTCTCCAGGATTGCCAGCCAGTTTTTAAATTCTTTCCCGCTGCCGTCAAATACTGGGACCCTCGGTCCACCTAACAGCCTTCTTAAATCAGCTGACAACCCTTGTCTTACTCCCTCTTCATCCCCCACTGCTCTATCTGAATCATAGTCCGACATATTTAAAGAGAAAGACAATCTACGCAGCAACAATCGAGGTTGGGAAATAAAATAAAGTGTCCTACCTTACAGACGATTCTGTTCTCGTTCCTTTCGGTCCCGGGTCGTTTTGAGTCCTATTTGAAATTTCTCAGCAACGGTGGTCGATCGATGTGACGTGACGTGGCTGTCTCAGGGTTGATCCTTTGGTCACGGCACCAGTTATGACGTCGTCCCCCCTGGTCGCAGCGTCGACTCAGTCGTTCGATCTCGTTCGCGGCGCCAACTGTGACATGACGTGGTCCAGGGTTCTGATCCTATGGTCACGACACCAGTTGTGACGTCTTTGCCGCGGCGTCAGCTGTTCGCTCCTCGCTGCTCCAAGTGTGACGTTCTAACCCTTTGGTTAGATGAATACCAGCCTCGTCGTTCCCAACTCGCTTCCAACGCCTGGTTACTAGGGTAACTGCACTGATCTCCGGTCTGCCTACCCACGTTGTGATTAGATCTTAGACAGACGGGATCAAACAGGGATTGGGGCCGTATGCAAGCTGAGTTCAACGGGGGTGATAACACACAAGAAAAATAAAAACTCACAAGGTCAAAAATTATTGAAGAAAAAGTTAACAACTTTTTATATCTAAATGTTCGTTACACAAGATTATTCCTACCTCCTGACCCGTTCTGTGGACCGTGGCACCAAGCTTCTACCATACAACTTTAAGGCTTCGAGTTGCTTGCTCTCTAGAAATTTGCATTTCGGGGTGTGGTTTGGTTTCAACACTGGGCGCTGATCTCTACCTGTCGTTCACGGCTGATTTCCCTCGCCGTCAGTGCGCGAATTAACTTCTTCTCTTCGGCTTCGGTTGGACGAGCTTATTCACTTCGGCTTGAGTTGGGCGAATTTCTTCACTTCGACTTGGGTTGGACGAATTTCTCTTCTTAGGCCAAACGAACCGGCCTTTCTTGCCGCAAAGGGGACTAATGAACAGGGTCCGCCGTCCGCGCTGCAACTCCAACTTCGTCCGAAGCGCAACTGCAACTTAACTTCTGTCTCTTCGGCTTCTCTTGCCCGAAAGGGGGCGAATGAACCGGGCCCGCCGCCCGCGCTCAAGCTCCCTCGCTGTCCGCGGCGTAACTGCAACTGATTTCTGTCGGTTGGGGTCCTGCTTTTATTGAGGCAGTCAAAAACTGGGGTGGGTCTGTCGGCGCCAGGGTTTTCTTGATAATTCTAAAGACGTATTATTTCTGATTAGGGTTTTTCCACCATCGGTAACTTACTTTCACTCCTACTTCCTTACTGTGCCTCTGGGGGAGGCGTATACCCGCTTCCCCTGGTCCCTCGTATGTCAGGTGACCGCTCTCGACCAATGGGGTCCTGCTCGGGCATCTTTCCTCCTCCCTCGCACATCATGTGACCGCTCTCGGCCAATGAGACTCTGGTCGGGTGTCTCTCCTCCTCCCTCATGTATCATGTGACTGTCCTCGGCTAATGAGACTCTGGTCGGTATCTTTCCTCCTTCCTTTGTGACGTCTCTAATCGGGCGTGTACAATCCGTGGCTTTGTTCTGGGGGAAGAAACACCTTGCTTAAAAAAACAAAATTTAAATTTGCCCTTTTCGTATGTGATCGAATGACGCTATCGGTTTCTTTTACACATGGTATCTGTCAAAACAGCCTATCGCTAATTGGATGCGATCTAAGAAAGGAATTCTCCTAGACTACGTGGCGTTCTCGCGAGCTAATACCAATATTTCACCTTTTCCTTTCGCTCGGAGCTTGTTGACAAAAATCTTAATTATCTCAAAAAAACATTTTCACCTTGGGTGGTTTTTTTCAACTTTAGAATTATCTGGCTTTCGTGTATTAATGTTTTGTTTTCATCCGTTACCTATCATCTCAATGACATCCTTTTCATTTGTTACTTATCAATATTTTTTTTCATTGCCCCTAAAATTTTATTCTTCAGCCAAATTGATAACAAACTCCCATCCTCCGCGGACACAAAAGTAGGTCGGTGCTTGACCTGATATTTTTGACATCTGATATGTGCCAGTCGAGCGTGTGTGTTTTTGCTTACGACCTGGTTTCGTATTATATTTTTTTTTCTTTCTTTTCTTTTTTTCATTGTCTCTAAATTCTATTTCTTCAACCAAATATAACAAACTTCCATTTTTTTCGTGGATTTCGGTCAGGTACTTTTGACCTAGATATCTTTTGACACCTGTTATGTGTCAGCTGAGCGTGTGTGCTTATGACCGGGTTTTGTACCATCTATTTCTCTTTCTTTTTCTTCCTCCTCCTTTCTTTTCTTCTCTCAGATCGCCTAAACGCAATTAGAGAATTATTCTCAACTCCGAAATATTTCTCAGCTCTAAATAATTATCAAATGGTTAACAAACCGAAAAAACAAATCATATATTTATGAATATCTCTTTTCAGTTTTCTAATTATGCATGGTGCTACAATTATATAATGATCCTTTTTCTGTGTTTGTCAATCTTTTCATATTCATTATGATAAAATATTCAAGTATTGTATGCTTTGTGTTTCTCAGGATAAAATAAAATTTTTTAGTTGTATTTTTCCTGCAATCAATATTAGTGAACACAGAAAACAAAACGTTAGATACGTGTGTCTTTTCCTCTTAAAATCCGAAGAAAAAATTCACCAAGTTTAAATATGATGGACAAGTTACTAGACCCGCATACCAGGAAAAATTGTCAGTAAGAATATCCATCATTTTTATTAAATTAAAAGAAAAAAGTTCATACCAAGGTATTGGATTCTATATTCCCTGTTCTATTTCAAATTCAATTTCACATAAAAATATAATTTTTTTAATCATATTTAACTTGCATTTTATGCAAATATTTCATATTTTATTATGCAAGTGATTGTTTCCACAATAAAAAGTTAATAACCAACCAATGTTTATAAATACATATATTTATTAACAATATATATTTTATGATTTTCATATATTCTTTAGGATGCTATTTCCCTTCAGTACGTGGGTGATTATGACTCTCCACAACTTTCTATCCTTTTTAAATGTAAGTAAATGTAAGTAATGTTTATTACTATCACTATTACCCGCTTCCATGTTTTACCCATCTATTTACACATTTAACTCTTTAGGTAGATTAATAGCTATTTCCATCTACTCATCTTGCCGTCAGTATGTTCTTTGAGTATCAAATCCCACAA